ATTGTAGTCAGGAGAATGCACTGATATTTTATTGGTACCATGTATCAAGATTCTTACCACCACCACCACTTTCTAAAAATCTGTGTTGCCTGTTCCCTTTACTATTCTTCAGGTTGCTCATTTTTTTTACTTAGATGTGTGTTTGTGTTCCAGTTTCTCTCACACTACATGGCTGAATCTTGTTGCATCACAAGTATAGTTTCCTTTGCATGTAACACAGTTACGATCTTATTACTATTAACTCCGCATTCCTTCCTCTCACCTGGGCAGAGGATTCTTCCGCCTTCCTCTTCCCTGCATGTGGATGAGCACTACTCCCAACTTATTTAGTAGTTTTTTTGGGGGGGACTGCTGTGTCTTTCACCACCTTGGCTAGTTTTATCCGCTTGTTTGTATTTCACAATGCAGTGGCACCTTGCTCAGTTGCTCTAACCAATTATAATGTTTTGAATTCTTGTCTAATCTGGCTTGGATTCAGGGAGGCCAGTTTTATCCCAAAGAATCAAGGGTCCAGTTAAGTTGCCAGTACCTATGACTTTGCTTCTGACAGCAAGTTCTTGAGCAGTGGGAATGGATTATCAGAGTTTTTAGATTGAGTCTTGTGCAGTGGGAACTCTTGGTTCCCTCTTTGACTTCTTTTAAAGCTTCGATTCCATTATTTTGACAGTCCCAGGAGCAAGTCGGGTGGAATTAATGAGCTACCTTCTACTGGTCTAATTGGTGTTTCCTAAGCTGTTTTTCATCAAGTTGTACCTTCACTCCTTCCTTGTGTTGAAATAGGAAGGCCTTTTCAGTGGACTTGAATTGTACTTCAGGCTTTCCCAGATGCACTTCTTGTACAGTCTTGAGCAATGCAATGGGCTCATTGGCTTCTATACATTGGAGACAGTGTCCTATCTCAGTGGTCATGGTGCTTGTTTCATAGCACACGTGGGGTTCTCAACACTCTTGCATTTAGGTTGCTGCTTCCTGAATAACCATTTTGGACAACCAAAAACAACTTTTTCACACCATTCCACTACAGATTTGCTATAGAATGGCCATCACAGCAGAAACTTGGATGCTTTGGATTTCCCTTCATTCTTAGAATTTGATCCTACCAGGTGCCTTATTCTAAATAGAAACAGTTCCTTGCATTTCTCTTTGCAGAGCTGTATAAAGTTCTGTATGGCGTGAAACCCAAATGTGCAGATTCTCTGGAAGCTGCCATCTGAGTTGGAAGCACCAGGTGATTGTTTTCCGCTTCCTTTTGGCACTGTTGTGCTTGGACAGTAAGCCAGCAGGTTCAGGTACATTCACGCAGATGGAAGTACCTGCCAGTAATACAATGTCTCGTTCCAGTAACGAGTCCCTGGGGCTTCTTAGTTTCCATCTGCAGAGCAGAGCAGCTGTCCATGCTGAGTGAGTGGGCAGAGTTGGCAGTAGCATTAACTTGATATAATAGGTGCTTGTTGACAATGTAGAGGAACCCATTAATCATGGACCTGTCATTGATACCAAAAGCTAGTTCATTCCCCAGTGGAAAATGGCAACGTTGCAGACCACCCACTGATCTGGAAAATAACACACAATTACATGATTAACCTAATAGGAGTGAAACTGCTAGCTGAGCCCTAAATCCCTTCCTCTTCATTATGTCCTGGTACTGAATTGTAGAATTCATGTGCATGGCTTTTTAAACTCTTGCTTTCTCCTATTTTTCCATTGTAGCTATAGTTTTGATGGCCTTCAGGAGCTATCATACAGTCAGATTTAAATGACAGCCATTGCTTTGCTCTTCTAGGGACCAGCAGTACAAACACTGTTGCGGGTACAGTGAACAGCCAGGCACCTCAGTCTCAACCTCCTGCCTCTAGTCGAAAAGGGACCTTTACGGATGACCTGCACAAGCTAGTAGACAACTGGGCTCGTGATGCCATGAGCCTCTCTGGCAAGAAAGGAGGCAAGGGGCATGGCAATTATGAGGTAAGTACTTGCTTGGGGCTTTGTGTCTGGTCGTAGGCACTCAGCCGACTTACAAGTCATTCATGGAAGAATCTGACACATTTCTGAGGGAGAAGCCTCTAAGGACTGTGTTAACATTGTTTGGCAATTCTGAAATAACCTCTTGGGTTGGGTTTTGTTTTTAGGGCCCAGGAATGGCAAGGAAGTTCTCTGCACCAGGTCAGCTCTGCATCTCGATGACGTCCTCCCTCGGTGCTACACCCATCTCTGCTGCGTCAGCTACCTCCCTAGGTCACTTCACAAAGGCCATGTGCCCCCCTCAGCCATACGGTTTCCCAGCAGTGCCCTTTGTAGCTCCCTGGAGCGGGACAGGTGGTCCAGCACCGCAGCCTTTAGGCCAGTTCCAGCCTGTAGGTGCCACCTCATTGCAAAGCTTCAACATCAGCAACTTGCAGAAATCCATCAGCAACCCCCCTGGCTCTAATCTGCGGACCACTTAATGAGACCCAGGCATGCTGCTGGGTAGACTTGAGGGGGGAAATCGGGCCCTGAATCAACCACTAGGCTGCAGTGAACTGGCTATTAGCGCCCAAAGGGGGGGGGGTGAATTTCCTCCTCTAACCATTGCTCTCTGCTCTCCATAAGAAAAGCCCTCCATTTTGAATATGGGGAGAAGAGTGATCAGGATCTTCCACGATGGGACATGCTTCCTCTCGTCTGTGGCAAGTGTGTAAAGATGAAAGCTACCACACAAGCCAAGGGCTTCGTGCTGTAAAATTCATTTGGCTTAAGATGCTGAATCTACATGGGTTGAGACGGGAGAATTGTTGTTAGTTTTAGCATGAATCTTTAGTATGCCATTTGTCTTGCTCTGAGGAATTAAGCCGGGGGTGGGGGGAGCTGTCCATTATTTCCATGTCTCTTCCTTCCGTCAGACCATCACACCGAAGTTCCTGAGCTGATGGGGCACACAAGTGGACTTGCAGAACAGCCCGTGCTTTGACATAGGTCATTACTGCTTTAAGTAAAAGATATTAACAGCTTTGACTGCAGCATTAGAGCAATTTAAATTGTTTAGAAGACAAATTTTTAAAAAAGTTCCCTGCGGACATGTACTTACCATCAGTTTTGATGTGGAAACACTGTGATATATAAATGTTGTTGGACAACAGTAGTTTAAAAAAAAATGAGTGGCATATAGAGGGTTAAACAGTTAAAAAGGAAAAAAAATGGGGGAAAAGCTAGCTATATCCTGATACTTATTGGAGACACTTTAACTTTTTTTCCTTTGTATTTTCATTGTATTAGATAAATGTGAATGTATAATTGTATAAATTAATGTACTTGAATACTTGTCTGTTCTCCCAGTATGCTTGCTGGATATTTTAGTGCCTTGGACTTTTATTGCTTCTACAGTTAGCATCACCTTCCCAGCAGACTTTCGCCAGGCAGAGGGAGGTTATTTGGATATAGTCACTGGAATACCAAAGGCATAACACATTGGATGCTTATACTGTAATAGTGTCGAGAGTAGGTGTTGGAGGGGGAGCTATTGCAGCTTTTGTGTCGGAAGAGTAAAGCTATGGAGTGGTGGGGGAAACTGATGTGGCTGATGCAGCAGCAGTGAGGGATTTATGCGGAGGTGCTGAAGAGAATGAACACAGTGACCAGAGTAGAAGCTGGGTTGTTGAGAATAAGGGAAGTGGGGGGAAAGAGGGACATCTTTGAAGAGGTAAGCACCTACGGGTGGGTTGACTTTTAAGCTATAAAGGTTTTTTAGTAAGGGTAATGTATGTCAAGGGATTGGAGCGATCACTCTGGAGAGGGAGGGTGTTTGCTGGGATTTGCTCCCCCCCTGCCCTGCCTGTCAATCCAATCCTGAAAGTCCAGGAACACATCTTCCTGGTGCAGCATCCATTGCTAAGGATGGATACACTTGAAACAGCCAGCATCAAAAACAACTTTTTCTTTCTATGTCTAAAGGACTTAAAACTGGTACCAGGACTGTAATTAACTGTGTTGCCTTTTAGTAGGTGTGCTATATCTCCTACTCGCCTTCCTCTTTCTAACTTAAAATACTGGTTCCCCGATCAAATGAAATAACTGCAACCAACTAGTATTACTTTGCATTGCAGCAGCAGGCTGTGAAGTCAAAGTACTTCTGCTTTGGACTTGGAAGCAGCTTTACTGCTTGGTCTGGAAGTCTGTTTTCTCTTTCCCCACCCCTGGAAGTCCTCTAAAGTTAGCAAGGACATTTGTTCTTTCTGTATTTCTTTCACTCTTCCCTCAAACATATGCACAAGTCTGTCTTTCTTTTCTTCCCTTCGCCTCAAGTTGAAGTTTACAGTGGTTTTGTCAGGCAGAGGTAGGATTTGGACCCGGTGGCTGAAAACAAAAGACGCAAGTCTAGGTGGCTGGGATTCAACAACTTTTCAGACTTAAAAAAAAAAAAGTCCTCACAGGTGTGATGGGAAATTCAAGGTGAGGTTGATGTGCAGAAAGCAGGAAGGAGCAATGGATGAAAAGATGCCACCAAATGTTAGAAGATCTAGTCAGCTGAGTGTTGCACAAGGATAGTATTTTGGTTTAATATGTTTGAGGTCGAGTTTTCACTTAGTTATGCAAGTACTGGTTTTATTTACCATTGATTTCCCTCCTGTGGATGAAATAACTGAGGTCTAGAGGAATTAACTAATGCTACTGAACTGTTAAATTATTTTGTGTTATTACACTTTGAATACCTTTTTCCACAAGATCTGTTTCTGAATTACAGATGTTTTCTTTACATTATTTAACAATGTACACTGTAAAAAAATAAAATAAAATGAATTCAAACCTTGGGCTTCCCTGGCCGTAGTTAATGGTATGTTTTGCACTAAATCCAGGCATTGCGCTTCCTGTATGATTGCGCTTTGTGCTGCAGTTTGTTACCTTCTTTGTAGATATTTAATGAAATCATTCAAATAAACCAAACCTGCTTTTGTTGAGCTGTGGTTTTTCATTTTCGAATGGCCTTGGTTCCTCCAGTGCCCGAAGCTTAACAATTGTTAGTGAGCCCTTGTTACTCCCACTAGCATTATTGTTAACAATCATTTGAGTTTGAAGGAGTGCAGGTGCCTTCAAACAAATATTTAAATAATACTTGAAAATTTATTATTTGGTTTCTGAGACTTCTAATTTTTGAAAAGATCTTTCCACAGATAACACTTCCATAATAGAAATCTAAAATGGGCAATTTGGTAGTAATCAATTTACACTGTGAGGTCGTGCCAGTAAACCACCTAAGATTGTTGATGTTGACACATTAAGTGTTTTGTTGGCCTTGCCTCATTAAATTTAAATAATTTCCTTTTACCAAAACACGCTGCAGAAAAAATGATAGTCCTAATTATCCAGAGAAGTCCTCCAGCCACATATATAACTTATAAACTGTATATGCCAAAATACAGCATCTTTCCTCTACTATTGACCGGTTCTAAGGAGGAAGATTCAACCCAGGCAGCAACCATTTTGCACAGTGATTCCAGTTGTGGCCCACACTAGCGCCAGCAGAACATTCATAGGCCGCCCCATTCCGGGTCCAAAAGGACCCAGGCGTTAGCAGTCACACATCAATTGGATGCATGCAAAATGGCCGTCGCTTGTGTATCAATTCCGAACCTCTTTAGTAAGCTTCGTGTCCAACTATTAGCCTCCAACATTTTTCTTTATTTGAAAGAGAACAAGGGAAAAATGATAAAAGTGTATGTGTGGCTGGCTTCAGTGTTCATACAGTGGGACATCAAATCTCACAGCTTTTCTGAATGAAAAGCTTTAATTTAACCACTTTAATAAGCAGGATTCACATTGCATAATTAACACACTGGCATCCTAGCCTTAAAAAACTTTTCATTCCACAAAAGTAAATTATTATTACTGTTACACGAAACTTGTATCAAGAGTACATTTTTAAAAAGCTGTTACATTCCTTTAGCTTTGGTTCTATTTTTTTCCTGAGGGCAGGGCAAATAGTACAAAAATAGTTTGCCTTGCTTTACAAGATGCACCCTTGTTAAAATGGATTTCTTCCTATTACAATAAAGGGAGTTAAGAATAAAGCAATTTTTGTTTTTGGATATGGAATTACATCTGTTAACGGGATAAAATACTGGTATTCTTTTCTGGAGATACAGTTGATGAAAAGCAATGTTTAAAACTTTCAAATTCTGAAAAATCATGAGAACAACCTTTTTCCTGTTTAGTGCCTGATATAGTGAGGTCTGAAGAATATTCTCCATTCTGAAACTTCCGAGTGCAAATTGCATTCTGAAACCTGAACAGATAAAGCACCACAGTCAAGTCATTCATCTTCTGCTATGCAGGCTCCAGCCTTCTCTTCTTCATCCCCTGGCTCCTCCTGTATGGGCTGCACTCAGCTGAAACAGGAAACAATTGTATGTAGGAGAACTTTCTTTACAAGTCTCTTACACAACTGAGATATTACCTACTTTTGTTCTCTCTCTTCAAGAGACCATTTCTCCGAACAGTTTGCAAAGCCTGAACTTAGAACCGCATCTTAAAACACCTTTACTTCAACGCAAGTTGCAGGAACCTTGGAGGAGGCTTTGAGACCGAAAGCACCAAAAAAGTAGCAAGAAATCTTTCACCGCTCGTTGCTGGGCACCGCAAGATTCAGAGGTAGCATAGATGATTTGCAATTTGAGTGTGCTAAGCTAAAATAGATATACATGCTTGCCCCATTGTCTACAAACCACCACCCTATATTACCCAGTCTCTACTGCTGTCTACATTTGCTTCTCCACCTCTTAAACTTACCTGATATGTGAGGTCGAGGGCTAGTAGAGGGATGCTGCGGTGCAGGTTTTGCACAGGGCCTCTGGTTATTTATTTTTTGTGGCGTTCTGCTGCGTGTCATCATGTCATACTGCCCACAAGGTGTGCCTGGGTGTTGGGCTGGCCCAGCTGCCGTGCTGTGATTGGTAACACTAAGGTCCGTTGCCTCCAAAGGTAAGTCCCAAAGCTCAGGGTCATCTGGAAGAAATGGAACATTAACAGTGAAGGGTCAGCTGCTGACCATTCTGTTCCACGTCTTGACTGCCACTGGATTAAAACTGTAACGGGGTGGAACTAGACATTGTGTCAGCAAACCACGAAATCCCAAGCTTGGGTTTTGCAATGACACAGGAACACACCGGGGTGTGTGTGTGTGTGTGTGTGTGTGTGTGCTTGTTTCTCCTGTGCCCAGTGATTTTGCCTTACAAAGGGCCTCCATCCGTTTCTCCTCTCAGATGGAGGAAGGAGAATCTAGAAAAAGGACGCACATTTCTTCGTGTGTCCTGCACTAACTGTTGCCTGAAATGCTACAAGAATGTGAACCAGCCACAGGCATTAAGTTACAGCAAGACTTACTAAAACACACACTGTGTGGGGCTGTTTTTGGAAGCTGTAGTTCTTCTAGAATGTGGCTACCAGTTGCTCATGGGAGCCAACGGATCAGAGCATATAACACTGACTATATCAGCTGGCCTGGTTCCTACTGCATTTGGGGAGCTAAAGTGGTTATTATGTTTAAAGCTGTAAACGACTTGGCACCAGATAGTAAGATAAACTGCAGAGGCTCTTCCTGCAGATCTGCTGGTAAGGACTTCAAGTCTGGTGGGCACAAGAGATGGGGTTTTTCCAGTGGCAGACCAGTCACCATGGATCTCCTCCCCAGAGGTGGTGCATTTTGTTTTCTGCTTTTGAACAGGTTTTAAAGACTTGGCTGTTGTAATTGAACAATCATAGAATCACAGAGTTGGAAGGGACCACAAGGGTCATCTAGTCCAACCCCTGACTGCAGGAATCTTTTGCCCCACTTGGGACTCGAACCCACGACCCTGAGATTCTTATTTGTGACCCATATTAATAGCTTGTTTCCCTGAAAAGATGGTATAAAATACCTAAAAGTACCAACAACCCTCACCCACCTGCAAGGAACTCCTCTTCCACAGCTGGTTCCAGCTGTGCTGAAGTGCTGTGCTTAATAGCAGGAAGAGCACATGCTTCTGGACAAGATAAAAGAGAAGCTTAATGTTACTGAGATTAGTGGAAGAGTACATCTTTCTCTGGATTTAGACTATTTGCATAGAAATGATGCATAAGCTGTCTTCCTAGGCTGATAGGGGGTGGGGAAGAGACAGGATAGTGGTGGTTTGGGCTTTATTGATAATGGAACAAATAATATTCCTCACAAGAGCTGTCCCACGTCACTGGGACAAAAAAGGACTTGCCTAAATGACCCAGGATGAATAAGCTATTAATTTCCATTTTGTCCAAGGAATGCCAACATATCTGAATTTGGCTCAGTATGAAGAAAGATGGTTATTCCAGCAATTAATAACAACAGATAGGTGTTATTATTAATATGCTCTAACCTAGCCTGGACCCAGACTGATATACCAGCTGCTCTCTCCATCACAAATCTGACTGCTGCACTCTTCTGCCATCTTAGTTGGGACTTACAGATGAATTGGGCTTACGGACACCAACATTAAAACAAGTCCCTAATCTGACAATCACCTTATTAATGGGTTTTATTAATATTGCTACTTACTTTTATAGGTTGGGTCAAGGCACTATTTTTCAAAAATATATTAGGCCTGCCTGCTGATTATATAATTTTTTGCTGATTTGAGTTAACTGATGTATTAAATAATTATATCTACATTTTAGGAAACCTTCAATAATAGGTGCCATTTTCACAATGCTAAATGAAGTGAGACGTAACTACTTAACAAACAAAAGTTGACACCAGCATTGGAAGGAAATATCTTCTTTAACACATTCAGCGACATGGGACAGAAAAGTTTCTGCTGCCATTTATTTTGCCAGGAAAATTCAATCTCTAAAAATGCAGCACTGCATAAAAATTAATGAATGGATAAAATAACCAGTCAAATGAGATAGTTTGAAAAATGTAACCCACCTCTCCTCAGATGCTAGTAAAAGCAGCAACAGCAGATTAAAGTTTGGGTTAAGCCCTCATTTTGACCTCTTTAAAGAGAGTCATATCAAGGACAAACACTTGTTTAACATCTCACTTTCAACTCTTACATTAACATGGCAGGAAAGAATTAGCCCTGTTTCTTAGGCACTTCATCTGCCCATTCTGAGCTTCTTTGCAGTGCAGCGGATACAGGTTCTAACTAGCATTTTACCTTGACCTCTAGGTTCACAAGCTGGAGTAGTTGACTGGATTTGCTGTTTCTTCTGCATCTGCTGTCTGAACTGCTGCTGAAGTTGTTTCTGCCGCAACTTCCGGTAGTATGTTGCATCACACAGCGAGACCTCACTACAAGAGAATACAGGAAGAAGAGGGAATGTTACCACTAAATTCCCCATTTCATAACCATACTTGCTCAGAGTAGACAATATAAGCAGGGTGGGGGGTGACACTTTAGCATATATGGCAATAGCCCAGGGCCGTGTAACTATATTCACATGTAATTTGCATAATTTATTCAACTACAGACCTTCTCTTGCCTCAGATTTCCTATTCTGTCTACTTGCAAGCATTCAGTGGTCCATAAAGCAATCCATAAAGGAAGACTTTATCCTACAAGACTTGGCCTAAGGTTATACTAGGAGGTACTTCTCACAAACCAGTCTTTCTCCTGCCATCTCAGTGAATGAACACTAGTTTATAGTCTGCCCTGACTTTTAAAAAATTGTTCAGGGAAGAATTGAGATTAAACCTGTGGTCTGCAGGTTGTACTCAAAGGAACCCTGAGCCAATCCTGCAGTTGTGTATCTGAAGGAAAGTTTATTACTTCCATTGCTCTCAGGAACACATACCGGCATGTACTAAGCAAAGTTCTTGTACTCATAGCAGGCCTCATTCATTGGGGAGTCCTCCTAGCCCACCATGGCAAAATCCTACTAAAGAGTTTCATTGCAGGTCAAAGTAGAAAGAACTGGTGGCTGTCTCCCTTCCAAGGTCCTTGATGTGTCAAGGACCACCTTCATTTAGACTGCAGATTGCAACATCTGGAAGGAATCTTCAACTCAGTACAAGCCCAAGGTCTTTATTCCTGAGCAAGGATACAGAAGCTGCCTTGGCTCCCGAGCACAAGATAGTTGCACAGACCTGGTACCCTGATGCATTTCTTCAAAGAATATGCTACTTCATGGGCTATTTAAGTCTCCAGTGTGCTGCACAGAGAAGTCACCTGTTCATCCCTGCACAGAATTTAAGTTTTTTTGCATCTGTAGATGCAGCCTTTAGTCAAAGGTTGCTTCAATGTACGCTGCTAGCCAGAATTCTGATCTCTCTCCCTCCCTGGGCATTTGGAGCACTGCTTTGTTAAGCTCCTGGGTTAGAGACCACTAGATGGTGACAAGTTGGAAGAACAGAAAAAAATTGCACACCTCCATTGAAGATTATTTTCCTTACTTGCCAGGTTTCTTCAGGTCTGGATTCTGGCATGGAAATTAGGCCATGGGTTAGGTGCCAATGTGCTTCTCTTATTCTCACTGTGTTGTCAGGGTCTGGTTTGAGGAAGAAAGTGGGAAGCATTTCCTAGCCCTAGCCACATTTCCTAGCCAAATGTGTTCTTCTAGGGAAAAGAGCCTGCCTCCCGGTGGACAGGGAGGAAAGAATCTCAGTATTATGGACTACTGTCTGGCAAAAAACTAGAATTCATGAAGGTAAGCAAAATTCTCCATTTTTTGCTCTAGAATATACAAAGCATTAGCAATTAAGACTACAGTATGTTCACAGTTTAAGCAGAGGTTATGTTCCAAGGAGTCAAAACATACTGGGTTAAATGGTGGGTGGGATTACCAAAGTCTTTTTTGCCCCAACCAGCCAGCCACTCTTTTTTTCATTGCTTTTATTTATTTTTGCCAAGCGAGTAAAGCTGAATAGGCACAAGTTAAATGTGCATAAGTTGTGGGCTTACTGTATAAGCTTACGTATCTAGTGTATTAGATCTCCAACCTGCTTTGCTGATCTTGTTCAGAAGTACTCAAAGAAGACTCTAACTGCTCAGTTTTGACAGGAGTTGCTGTAGAAAACTGCTGGTGGTCTTCTCTTGTCTTCTTCAAGCAGCTATTGTATCTTGCCTTTTCTATAGCAGGCTCAAAATCCTGTCTTTTAGCATTGCTCAAATCAAAATCTGGGGGCATCTAGTAATAGGAATAAAACAAACAGCCTTTCAGTAGCTACAAAACTTCAGAATGTAATGGAAACATTTCACAGACTCATCTGTCATGTTGCCCAGGAGACAAATTGCTTTCCTGGAACACTTTGCCTGTTCACAACCAAGTTTCGACTTGGTGCTGTGAACTCAACCAATGTGGTTATTTCTCTAATTTAGTGGAGATTTGTCATGTTTAGTAACCAACACCAACTCTGTCAACATATACTTTGTGGATCAGCTTTGTTTCCTTGCAATTCTCTGTGATGTTGATTTCCCTCCCCTCTTAAAGCAACCTAGGTGTTATTTTAAAACAGACGTAGAAAGAACAAATGAAGAAAACTGCAGATTAACAGCCTGGGAGTGCTGTAGAAATCAGTAAACACGACAATTTCAGCCTATCTGCAGCTTTCAATCCAGCACAGCCAAGAGCATACTCTGCCTTCTTTGATGGAATGCCAATTTAGGTGACACAGACTATGGGCTGCAGTCAGCAAGGAATACTGTAGATGTGTGAAGGGTGGGTTGACCAGAATGCAGCAGCTTAAATGATGATTCACTGGGGTGGGGTGGTTGTAGAAGAGCCCAGTTAGTAAAAAAAGAACAACATAGTAAGCTCTGATTTTCAGTGTTCATTGGAAGGTACTATAATTTTCTGCTTGCTCCTGAACAGCTCTGACTGGAAAGTGAAAACACACACATGAAAAATTATTGAGTGTTTTGAAGCAGAAAAAGTGTAAGCAAAGACACACACAGCAGAGATATGGTGCGTCAGAAAATAATCAGAAGAATTTTCAACTGGAATATCCAGGCAATGAAATTACCTGTTCAAAAAGAATGTACTGTTGCATGGCAGAATAAAGAATGGAGCCTGCCTTGTCTGTATCATCTATACTCAAAGCAGAATTTGGCATTTTTACTGCAGAATTATAGTTTTTGGAAGTCCCAAGTAACACACCTGGCGAGGAAGCTTATTCACTGATCGCAAGTAGTCTTTGTCCAGGATGCAATTCCCAAGAGCATTACCAAAGCACCTGAGAAAGGACGAGAGTTAGTCGTCTTTTAGAACACAGTTCCCCTTTTTCATTGCTTTCAGACTAGCAAAATGTCTTCTGTTGATTGCCACTTACTTCAGTGCCCTCTTCAGTCCATCTGTAACAGCTTCCTTCCTTGCTTTTTCTAGGGACAAGGCCTTAGACTTCAAGCCTTCACTTACTCCATAGCCAACATCTTCATGGTATGAGCCATCCTGCAATTTAAGAATACGCAAGAAAAACAAAATGGCCACTTGGGTTTGACTATAGTCATCCTAATGAACCTTGGTTTGTGGCATAAGCAGGCACTGCAGTACATTCAGTTTTTCTGGAGTCTACAGGGACTCGAGTGACAATCAAACCTGAAATATTATGCTAGGTCAAAGTATTCCAATCTTCCGCCAGATACAGCCTAAAAAATGGAAACCAACAGCATTTGGATACATGCATTGCAGTTTAAGACTTGTCACTGTTTAAAAGCAAATGCGTAAGTCAGGATTTTTTCCTACAGTATTTTATTTCATCTTAAACAGGTGTGTATTTTGACCAGTAACGGGTCTAATAAATATGCATTTTTGTTCGACAGGAAGTAACACCAACAGTCATATTGTTATGTACCTTTTGCATACTGTTCACTTTACTTTCAGGGCTCTGAAAAACCAGCACCACCAACATATCTCCCCACCCCATTTACCTTAAGTTGGACTTTCACAAAGGCACAGACCCCCACATAGAACTTGCCATTATTAAGATCCACAAAATCTGTGAAGAGCAGAAACAAAAAACAAAAACATTTACTCTAACACAGGGAGCCGGATGATTCGTCTGCCTATCATTACTGTGCACTGGTAGCTAGGCAGTTGTAAAGAGATGTAGGAGAAAATATAGGGAATTTAGAATATGGTCACAACACTATTGGCATGGATGCAAATGTTTGTCAAAGAAATTAACTAGAAAGGATACAGAGATATTTCCCAAGCAGAATGTTGGTTTCTGAACTAGAGGCTTCTGAGGATAATGTTCAGATAAAAGAGTACATGGACCCGAAAATTACCCTTAAGACATTACTGCATTATTGACCTTAGTGAATGGTCAATGGAATGGAATGGAATGCTGTGGACCCCATTTATTTTTATTTCAGCAGAGCTTTGACAAAGCTCATCATGATCTTTTATTAGCAGACTCGTTGAATGTGTACTGATAAATAACGCTGGATTCAGAGCTGGTTAGAAGCCATACTCAGAAGGGTGTTCATCAATGGCTTCTCATCAAACTGGATGAATGATTTGAGTGAGGTGATGTAGGGCTCTGGGACTCTTCAACATCTGATCAATGATTTAAATGAAGGTGTGGAGGGAATGCTAACCTATTTGCAGAAGACACAAAGCTGAGATAGATCACTAATGCCTTAGCAAACAGGAGTAAAATTCAGAATGAACTTGGTAGCTTTGGCCCAGCTCCCCATTGTTACAATATGAAATTCAACAGAGGCAAATGCTAAGTCCTGCATTTGGGGGAGGTGGGGGAAACAAAACAAAAAAAACCCCAAATGGACAGAGAGTCACTTTGAGTCAGCAGTGTGACGCAGCTGCAGAAAATAGTAATGCAGTTTTAGGCTGCCTTAATCAAGTCATAATGTTTCCCATCAGCTTTTAAAAATATTTTAAAATCAAACAATTTCATTAGTAGTAATATTCTATGAGGAATTTCAGCTTCTGATAATCTGAATCACATTCAAGATGACAGAATCAGCTTCCCAAGGAAGTGGTCTTTATTTTGTAAATCTCTATGACTCTATCCTCTTGACGAACTGAATATGTGCTGAGGATTGATAATTAAACATATGTAGGTTCAGAGTATTCTCCAGGATATTTTATTTTTTTAATGCAGAGAATGCTACCAATTTCTAGGAGGGGATTAAGGTTTTGTATGCGATGGAATAAAAAAGTGAAATATTCATTAGCAAAGCAGGTAAGAGTAATGTCAGGGATCACAACAGGTTTCAAAATATGAGTGTGCAGACTGGATCTTTTTCCGAAACACTTTTTACAGGAAAATCTATCCATACAGAAAACAAGGTTATAATGAAGTATAACTTATAGCTTATAGTATTGGGCTTTCTCTCCCTTTTGCCTTTCTGACAGCTCTGTAGTTTTTGTTACCTAATATCATTTCAGATCCTTAAGGTGACCTAGGTGAAGTTTTTGAGATGAGGGTTCTGTTCTTCCAATTGTTGTTACTAAGCTGAAAGACTTAAGTGTCTCCCCTCTGCCTTTTCCATTCAACCTCCTGTTGCTAGGCCACAAAAGTCCTCCCTCAACACAACAGATCTTTTGAGGATGAGACAGCTGCAGCCATAATTTTGGGAGATGTTTCCCCCGCCTGTACAGGATTGCAGTTTTCAGCTAATTTTATTTATTTATTTAATGAAAACTGTTTACTGCTAGGGCAAGGATTCTTTTTTCTATATGTATTCACTGTGCAACTGACAATACACTGAATTCTGAAATTTAGGAGGAAACCACTTTAATATGTTGTCAAGGTTACGCCATGCCAACTCATGCTGTGCCCTCCCCCAACTGCCATGGAAAATTCTGCTTCCAGGTGGCATGTGAGAAGCACCCTTTCTCAAGATCTAGAAACTCGTGAGCATATTGTGTTGCATCTAGCAGAGGTGCTCTGTTCATTGAAAACTCTGAATACTAGCTGAGGATTCCATGAATGAATGGGGCAGGGCACAAGGTTCTCACCTGTTCTCATTTATGCTTTCCATGCCACTTCCTACATAACTCTTGGGGGGGGGGACCCCTCTCCTCTAGAGCAGGTTTTTGAGGAAAGCAGGAGCTGAAGGAGGAATCAGAAAAAATGCTTTCTCCACTTTCTATTCATGAAAGCTGCTGCTGGATCAAAAACTTCCTTAAGTGGAACAATGCCGTAATTTGTACCCGACTGCTTATTGTTTCACTCTACTAGGATAGTCTTTTGCACAAGAACATTTTGATAACTTATAGAACCTGCAGCATGAAGCAGCTGGAAGAAGCTTAAAATTGGTTCTCACCGACATTCTGCTGAGTGACAGAATGAGCCCAGCCATTGTAGCCAAACATCTCATTGGCCAGACTGATGACTCTGTGTCCTTCAATGTAGCAAACCTGAAAGTAGAAAGTAGAAAGAAAGGACAAAAGTGACAAAAATCCTTCTTGGTCAGTCTTAATCTCATTAAATTATTGCAGAAGCTACATCTACTTGCAACATGGCTTCCAGGCACTGTGTCAGACCAAGAATCATCATATCAAAAGAAAATTGGAACACACAATATACCAGCACCTAGTATTTACAAGTGTGTTCCACATTACAGTACCAAACAGCTAACCAAAATTAATTGTTCTGAGTTTTAAATTGATGATAATTTATTAAATTTTCAGCTGGAGAATGCTTGCACAAGGCAGTGGTATGGAGCACTTGCAAGGGAGATGGGCAAGGAAGCATTGAGCATCATGTTCAAAATTCTAGGGTTTATGATTCAGTAGCATAGCACACCAGATTTTCAGCACATTTGTTTTGAAATTATGAAGGCTATTACATGTGAAAAGAATCCTACACCCCAGGTCTGCCCCATACTGCACTTATTTCTCTAAATCCCTGGCCAGCAATGGGAGAGTCGCTTTGAGGAAAGGTAGTGGGCCAGGACTGTCCACCTCTCCAAACTGGAGAGCCAGAAAGTACTATCATTAACAAATGCTGATCCCTCTGTGGACACCAGATTTGCCTCTGACTTGGAAGATTGCAGCTTTCAGCAAGCACCACTTGCGGATAACCCTACACCAGGCATGCCCAACAGGTTGATCGCGATTTACTGGTAGATTCGTAGATTCCTGAAAGGCTTTGGTACATTGCAGTCGAACACACTGGGTCTCTTTCCTTAGCATTGGTAAAACAGAATCCGGCCCCGCCCCCCATTGCCAGTATTTAATTCTGTGAGTAGATCACAGTCTCTTGGGAGCTGGCCACCCCTGCCCTACACTATGGTGCTCCTCCTGAGAAAGCAAGGGCATAGGAAACTGCTGCCCAAAAGGATTCAGGGAAATATGCACTACCAACAGGCAATGAGTAATTTTCAATATCAAGTAAATAAAAACTGTGTACACACTTTTGTACCTTCTGTCCTCCTCCAGCTTGCCGGCTACTGATGTATTCTGGGCCCAATCTCTGTCGCAGGGCAGCCTGGACGGCCTGGTACTCATCTGCTGTATACTGACACTTAAGCAAACCACACACACAATCATGGAAAGATCTAGCATATTCATAACTAATTTCTTCCCCTTTCTTGCAACTGATTTAGTTCAATCAGTCCCATTCCCCCACAAGAACTTTTAATCTAGTTATACTCTGAAAGCTATATCCAAAAGTAAATATTGTACCTGACAGGGTAGCTCCTTCATTATGATAATACCATGAATTGTTTAAAATGGTAACTACTCCATTGCATGAGTTCCCCCAAGTTCCCCTCTGAGCGCTCTTAAGTATAATTCAGCCAAATCAGAAAGAAATCTCAGCTGGTATATATTTTCCCAGTACTTGTCACCAAACACCAACTGAATTAAATAGTAATAACTCTTGCGTTGTAGTGTGAGATAAATACCAGCAAAAAGAGTGCAAAGAAATATTAAGAGTATCTCAACAGATTTTGGATTTCCAGCTACTCTCTAGGGAAATGGTTTTTATACAAAAACAAATCTGCTTTCTGCTCTAAAAAGGAGTACTTTTTATATTCAAAACACATTGGGATCTTTTCATAAAGATGGCTTTGTACCATATTTTGGATCTGATCCATGTTTCTTCTGCCTATGTAGAGCTTAAACCAACTACAGTTCCCCAAGTTTGGACGTAACAGGGAACTGTGGTTTATTTAAAAGAAGCATCTAACCCCTTCTCCATGCCCAGGGTAGGAAGCATAAGAAACCAAGGTTTGTGCAGATTCACTCACATACTTTGAAGCTATGGTTTCCCATTATGTCTCAACTGGGCCGTTATCCATAGTAGATTTTCCATTGAAGCCCCACCAGAAAATCTCACACAAATCTGAAGGTGATGGTAAACTGACCTGTCCAAACCACATACTGGAGTTAGCATTGCTGCTGCTGATTCCATTTCTTGTCAGTTCTGTTCCAGACATTCCTAAAAGAAAGTTATACGAATGTCAATATATATGATCAAAATAGAAACAGTTATTTACCAATTTTTAATAATGATATTAAAGACCGTATAGTTCGTAATAATCATATTAAGGTCTGTATAGTTAAACCTATGGTTTTCCCAGTAGTGATGTATGGAAGTGAGAGCTGGACCATAAAGGCTGATCGCCAAAGAATTGATGCTTTTGAATTATGGTGTTGGAGGAGACTCTTGAGAGTCCCATGGACTGCAAGAAGATCAAACCTATCCATTCTTAAGGAAATCAGCCCTGAGTGCTCACTGGAAGGACAGATCGTGAAGCTGAGGCTCCAATACTTTGGCCACCTCATGAGAAGAGAAGACTCCCTGGAAAAGACCCTGATGTTGGGAAAGATGGAGGGCACAAGGAGAAGGGAATGACAGAGGACGAGATGGTTGGATAGTGTTCTCGAAGCTACCAGAATGAGTTTAACCAAACTGTGGGAGGCAGTGGAAGACAGGAGTGCCTGGTGTGCTCTGGTCCATGGGGTCACGAAGAGTCGGACACGACTAAATGACTAAACAACAACAACCCCATTGTGAGTAGGCAGGACAGGATACTCAGTAGCAGGAGTATCAAACAAGTTTTGCTCTTACACCCCCCAAATGTTCTTTATGTGTCTAAATGGGAGTAAGGAGTAAATGACAGCTATTCGCTTCTACATGAGATGTGAAAATAATGTATATATAAGAGCATATAAAAAGGGATAAATACACTCAGGGATACCCTGGAAACCTGTCTTTCCGTCTTGTTGCCATCCCATCTTAGATCCTGTCCCTCTTCTCAGCTCCAACCCCTATGCAGCTCTGCATCCTCTGCTGCTCAGCAATTTCTGATGTTTAGCTGTGGGGGATCTTGGAAAGTCTGTAACCTCATATGCCTGCACTGCTCAGCAGGAAATAATTGTGCAGTGAGAGAAGAGTGGCATGGTTAGAGTTCAGCTCACGACAGAGTTAGAAAACTCTCTTCCTCCATTAGCAGCTTGCTGTGTTTTCACACTGTGCACGGAGAGAACTCCCTTTCTCAGTGGCTATCAAGGCAGAATTATCCTGAATTTGTGTGAACTGGAGGTGAAGTGTGTAAATGCGTTCATTTGTGTGGATCTGTGTGGCTTTGGCTCTGCACTCCAATGGAAGGTTACCCATGAAGGAATGCAGTCTTTTGATTGAAAACAGTCAAAACCTCTCAGCTTGTGTGTGTGTGTGTGTGTGTGTGTGTGTCAGCAAATGTTATCTGCTTTAAACATGAAAAGACTCGGGGTACAGGACTATAAGTGGGCTTCCCATAGACATCTGGTTGGCCACTTTGAGTACAGAATGCTTGGACCATATGGGTGACAGGCTTGATCCAGCATGCTCTTCTTGTGTTCTCCTTTTTCTGCCAAGTGCTATTCTCTTAAACACCAGCATTTTCCTCTCATTAATGACACATCACAGCTATCATTAGAATGTGCTAGCATTTTTAATTTTGGAAATGTCAACCCCGCTTCCTTAGTTTTTTGTTTTTACTACGAAATGTGCTTTTTTAGCATTCTGCAAGCTTTATTATTCCAAATGCAACAACTTTTCACAGACCCCCTATGTTTTTTGTCAAAACTTTTTACCATATTAAATGACAGAAATACAGGTAAGATGTTAATCTTTTCCCATTCAGAATTATCATTATAAGTAACTTGTATGCATTTAACTTGTGTGCATTCAGCTTTCCATGCTTGGTAAAAAGATTTTTTTTTAATTAAAAAGGGGGCAGCCATCCAGGAAAAAAAGCTTTGGCAATCCCATCCACAACTGAACCCAAAATGTTTTGAGTATATGCAATTTGGCTTGGAATGTAACCCCGGTGTAAATCAAGAGTCACCTGTAATTTGACCCATTCATTCAATTAGTGGCAAAAGAGGCTGATGACCCACCACTTTAAATTGTAAATGGCTGAGATCCTGGCCTGTCATGCTTCACTTCTGTCTCAAAGCAGCCCTATGGGAAAACTGCTGATGAGGATCTGTGGGTTACAAAATATTAAACAAACTGCAGAGGTAACCAGTGAGCTTCCAGATTCAATTCAATACGCTGACACAATCACAGCTTGCTTTGTGGAGTAACTATCCCCATGAATCCCTATGTTGGCTGTAATCATTAGATTAAGCCTTACTCATATTCCCATTACAGCAAGTGAAACAATCGGCAACAAGGAGGAGTTTCTCTGCAACCACCCACAAGATTGGAAGAAATCCCAAAGATAGATCAAAACTATGTGTTGGCATACTGAACGTGTTTTATTATTTTATTTAAAATATGTAGTGCACCTTTTCCCAAGGTGCCTTGCAATCAAAGTAAATTCAAACACAATGCTTATCTATGGGTTGGCAGCTAAGATTAATATGATGACCTGGGGGGTTGAAGATTTTATTGGTAGGCGTGGAAATTTTCCATGAAGCTTACCAAATCTGAATTGTTGTTATACTTCTATATTATGTTGCTTTAGATGTTTTTGTTCTTACGCAAAATGCTTTGACATAAGGAAAGTAGGTATACAATTGTGTTAAATAAATATATTCTTCAATAAGAAAAATTTAGCTGAGGATTTCCTACTGATGGGAATTTAAAAGCTCCTTGAATAATCACTTGGGTCATTTCCCAGAACTGACTAATAAAAGCTGCTGGCTGAAAATTTATGATGGAGCGCAGTATCTTTACACTTGCATTTCCAGTAGTCATTATTTCAGAAGTCACCAGTCTAACGGGAAACATGGTACTCTTTAAAGCTGAAGCCATCAGTTATATTACTTATGGGATAACCATAGCTTTATTTTAAACAAAGGCAGTGTTGAAGCCATTAACTGAAAAGCTGTGATCTCTTTTCCCCATAGCTCACGACTTGGTTCACTTCTGCCACTTGCACTGCTTTTCTAATCTTTGGCTGTAGGTTTGGCTAATGTGGGTGAATCTCTTGCATGATAAGGTAAGAGACTAACAGAACAATTGAAACTCTCAATCCACTGTGGTTCACCATCTTCCATCCCACTGCTGACAGGGAAGTCACCCTGTTGAAAAGTGTTCCAATGTCCCTGCCCCCCCCCAAAAAAAACAATATGCATAAGCTATCACCCACAACCAAGCGTGCCAACTTGAATAAATTATGGGGGTGGGAGCCAGGTAAGCCCCACCCCACATAACTGACATTGCGAACACACACCATTTGAATGGCAATGGCTATCAACTTGGGGGGCTAGCCCCCTCAAATATTTTGTTGGTGGGAGTGTCAAAGGGACATCAGTCCCTAGGAGTTGGCTCCTATGCCCACAACATCTCCAGCAGAGGTAGCCAGAAGAAACCCATGAAATGTGAGGGCAACGGGCCAGATGCAGACCTCTTTGCTGCATCAGTCTGGGAGTGACAAAAACCACTCATACATCAACTCATCTCACACTCATTGCCAAGCATGCTCAGATAACATATCCGGTATTCTGTCTAACCACTGCTAATTGGAGTTAAACAAGGCCCAGTCGTGACCAACTCTGGCGTTGCGGCGCTCATCTCACTTTATTGGCCGAGGGAGCCGGCGTACAGCTTCCGGGTCATGTGGCCAGCATGACTAAGCCGCTTCTGGCGAACCAGAGCAGCACACGGAAACGCCGGAGTTAAACAAACCAAGTAATAATATACCACCATAAACTGAAGTAGTAGGAATACTACAGACTAGCTATGAGAATAATTAAGATTACATAATTCCCTCTTGGGAGGCTTCAGCTAAATGCATAGTTGTTGGCATCTGTCTGTCTGGAGAGACAATGGAGTGTGCCTCCAGGGATGAAGTCAAACCACTGCATTATGCATAAACACATAGCTGAGATAATTTCATAATGGTTGCAACCATATATAACTCTGGACATTCTCCTTACCACAAACCTACTTTTAAATTAGAGAGAGAGAGTTATATTCCTTATAGATCTGTGTTTTTAACATTGATTTATACGGTTGAGTTGCATATGTTTGTTAATCATTGTTGTAAACTTCGCTAGAGGGGAGGAACTTTAATTATAATAATGCTTAATTGTTTTTTAAATGATTTCCCTCCCCCAATGTTTTTAACTGTTCCTATTTTATCTGCAAGCCGCTTTGAGTCCTTGTCAGGGGGGGAAAGGCGGGTTGTAAATAAATACATAATTTTAAAAAAAACGTATTTGCATTGACTTGCAGAGCAGGGTTACCTCTTAAGCCCCCTACCGCACAAACTCGCGGCGGAGCCGAATATTAATAGACCCCACCCTCAAAGAGGCCACATTTCCCGGGGCCCCGTGAGACGATTTTCCTCTCGGAAACACCAACGAAGGTTCGCCCTGATCAACGCGGCTTTACAATTTCGGGCGTCTAAGACAGAAAGAAGGCACGAGAGAGAGCCTCTTACGGGGGGCCGGGAAGGGCAAAGGCGCGCAGTGAAGGAGTCGGGGAGACCCAACACCCCCACCCTATTGTGTCAACTTGGTGACTTCCGCCCTCCAGTTACCTGCACGTGAACGGCGGGCAACGGCAGCCACCGCAGAACCTCCTCCCAGCGCCAAACCTTCAGTCAGGGGCGCCGCTACGGCAAGCGAACGAAGGCAAACTTCCCGCCCGCGGTGGCCGCGCTTGCGCAATACCTCGCCCTGAGCCCGTGGGAGGAGCCTCTACGTAGCGCGCCCGCGCGAGTCAGAATTGGAGCTGCCCCGCCAGTGGTGTGTAGCGGCGGCGGCGAAGGCGGGGGGGACAGGGGGGCAGACCAGGAATCTGGGACGTGTCTGGGAAGAGGCGGCGTGGATTGGCGAGGGGAGGCGGGGACGATATTGGGCAGGCTAGCGCCTATTGGTCAGGGGGAGGGGCCGCCGCGCGACTAACGCGATTGGCTTCCGAAAGGCTGGCAGGGAAGGTGGGCGGGGACACGAAGCGCTACGGAGAGCGGAGGGGCCAAGAAGAGGGTCGTGAGCGGGTGAGTTTGTGGTGGTTGGCGGGCGGAGGGAGGGAGAGGGGGCGAGTGGGAAGGCTTGTAAGCGGAGCATGCTGGGTGTAGTACGAGTGAATCGATCGATCCCATCGATGGTCGCGTGAGGCGGGCGGGGCGGGCGTGTGAGGGAAGAAGAGGTCTTAAGCGTGTCGCGCGCGCCGGCGAAGACCGAGGGGAGGCAGGGCTCGCGCCAGGGGAGAGGCGGGGCTTGGTGTTCGCCTCGCGCCGGGGGCGCGGGCGGGGAGCTGCTCGCTCGGGTGAGGAGGAGCCGGAGCGCCAGCCGTGAGGGGAGCAGCGGGCGGAGGAAGACCAGCCTGCTTGGTGCCGCCGCCGCCGCCACAGCAGCTGACAGACTGTGGCAGGGAAGCTCAGCCGACCCGGAGGCAGGTCAGAGAACTGGGCCTGTGTGCGGCGTGTGAGGTGAAGCCGACGGTGGTCGAGATGAGGGTCTGTGTCGCTGAGGGAAGGGGGGAAGGTCGGGTGGGGCCTGCCCGCCTGCCTCTGCCGGGCGTGTGGTCATAGTTGGCGCCCCTTGACCCGGGGCCTATCAGCTGCTCCACGGAAGCGGGAGGGAGAGGCCCGTCCCCTCCACACGAGCCGGGCATCCACGTTCCGGGAAAAGGTGCTCCATCCAGGATGCCTCCTCTTCCCCGCCCCCCGCCCTAAACTGGCTCCGCCGAGGCTCCCTGCCTTGCTCAGAACCGTGGCGTCTCCCTCGACCCCACCCCGTTAGTATGAGGCGGCGGCGGGGAGGTGGACGAGCCCCACCTGTCAGCCTCGTCGGCAACAGCCAGTGAAATAATTTTTTCTTTTGTTAGGGGGAGGATAGCAAAACGGATTTGCGGACATGGGCGCACCTATTGCTGCGGCTTCTCGCCCGGCGCTGCAGCCCTTTTGCACATCCTGACAGCTGATGCTACTCTTCGATAGGTGGCTTGATAAATGTACAGCCGTCTCTCTTATTCACTGCCTCATGTTAGCAACTGTTAACCTTGGGGTGGATGCGATCATCATCTTTTTCTGTGGCTGGCAGCCCATTAGTGTAACAAGGTGCTCGCTTTTTGTTTCCTTGAGGGGGCTGATGGTTCAAAGCATTGCAAGAATGGCAAGCAAGCAGCCTTCTTGAGGAATTTGGCATGCAATGCATCTAGGTACAGGACCTGAAAATCAAAAATCTCTGGTATGGTGGCAAATTTATCCTTTACTGGAATGGTGTACTAATAAAATATTTTCTGGAGCCTGTGCATAAGATGAGCAAGAGTTTTAAACAGTAGCTTATCTTTCATAATTCCATTTTGTCTTTAACTCTGATTGGATTGTGAAACTCTGCCTTGTTCTGGTAATTCCATCAAATATAATGGGATGGGGCTCATGCTGTGGAGGTAGCAGAAATAGATGGCATTTCCTTGCAGGGGTTGGGATTGGTGATCCCTAGTATCTTCAGTTTTGTTTTGAAAATTCTCAGATGGGTTGGGAAAGATCTGTTTTGAAGTATATGAGTTGTTGCCATTGAAAATAGATTGGCTAGATGAATTATTAACCTACCTCAGTATGTGGCAGTTTTACATATTTAGAAATATTCACCCTTGGTTAGGAAAGTGTATAGTCTGCAAGGTTTGTCCTAATCATCATATAATACAGTTTAAGAAGTATTGCCTAGAATTTGGCATAACTTGTCACTTGAGATCATTTTTGTGCTGTACATGAACTGCTTCTGAGTATTTTAAATGGGCCATTTTAAAATGAAGCAGAATTACAGTCAGTGCAATCTCAAAAGAGACTTCAACACTTTGATTTTGCACAAACTGAGTTAGATGTTGTCAATATAGCATGTTTCTCTGGTATAACTTAACTATTTAGAATAGTTTTTAGGAAAAAAATATAGTGTGTTTCCTTTGGCAAACAACATTTTGATATTTTATTGATTTATTAATGGTTTGCTGAACAAAAAAAAAATTGCTTTTGTATAGCACATAACATTTTTAAATTTAAATTCCAAAATGTTTTAGCTGTTGGTTTGATATGATTTCCTGCCCCTGCTTTTGAGTGATGAAGCCATAAATATTTTTACCACAAATCCATTTTTCTGTAAAGTTGTATTGATTTTATCTTGCAGAGAACATAAGAACATTACTAGTTTTGATTATTCATGATAGAAGACACTGTGGTGCCTAAACATTTCTAGAGGCTGAAGTCTAGAGTGCAAAAAATATTAGAGGTGTTAATTTTTTAAAATTAAACATCCAATAAAATAATAGCATGGTGTTAAAATGTCATCTACAGCAACAAACACATTTAAAAATTTTTTAAAAGATAATAAACGGGCAAAACTGTTATATTCTGGACTTTGGGAGCCAGAGAAACCCATGTACAGAGTTCTGTCAGTACAGGGAGGGGTGGCTTATTTTTCCCCTCCTATGTCATAATGTCATTGGTGTTCCTCATCCTAAATGTGATTTTTGGTGTATTAGTATTATACTGTTCATTCAGTTTGTATCTGCTAGGAATTGATAAAGGTACATGCACTGATAGCCTCTCCGGTGCTGGTTTTGGTATTTTGTTATTTTTGTCTGGTTATTGCTTTGCAGGGATGTGTTTTGCTTTTAGGCATGTTCATCCATTACACAACACAGACTTGACTTCTCCACCCACAGCAATCCATTTTTTAAATAGTGAGTAAGAAGCAAGAATGCCTCTGGAAAGAAGAATCAAGTGACAGGTCTAGTTTGAATACGCCTTGCCTGATTGTGTTTAAGAACAAGCTGACAGTGGCATAATTAAGATGGTATTTTTGTGCACATCCTGAGAGCAAGCAAATACCAGTTTCAGTAGTTAGGAAAGTCAGAATCCATTTTCCAAGCATCAAGCCCTAAGTTCATGTACCTAACATCTGATGGATAGTATAAGTCAACCTTCACCAGCTGGGCTGGCTGGGGCCAACCAGAGTTGTCGAAAACATCTGGAGGGCATCACATTGGCAAAGGCTGATTTAAGGCAGGCATGTTATCTAGAGCTGATGCAAATGTGTTCCTAGCTCCACTCCAGGAGGTGCACAGAACGTTTGAATAATGAGCACAAGACTGATAGTATTTTGTGATGCGCTTTGAGGGAATGAGGATTTAATCCTTGCACAAACTCTGTAACTTAGGCCAGTGCTATCCACAATTGATCCTCATGTATAATCCAAAACTGTTGGGTGTGCAATGGGGCTAGGCCTCTCTAAATAGGATGGTAGCTTAGTGGTAGAGCACCTGGTTTTCATGTAGAGTGGTGCTCCAGGTTCAGTCCACAGCAGCACCCATCAATATAACCATCTGAAATCCTAGGGAGCCACTGCTAGTCCATGTAGACAATACTGATCTAGATAGATCAGCTGTATAAGGCAGCTTTGTCTGTTTCCTGTAGTTTGCATTTGACTGGAGACTGCTCCTCTACCAGCTCTGATTCTAATGATTTGATTTTGTTTCCTTAAAAAACTTATCCCAGTTGCATAGCATAAATCAGTGACGTGTGTGTGAAGGAGTGGGAAATCTGGGGAGAGTTGAAGAAAATCATACTGCTTGCAAGTAAGGTAAAGGGACCCCTGACCATTAGGTCCAGTCGTGGCCGACTCTGGGGTTGCGGTGCTCATCTTGCTTTATTGGCCGAGGGAGCCGGCGTACAGCTTCCCCAGGTCATGTGGCCAGCATGACTAAGCTGCTTCTGGCGAATGCACGGAAACACTGTTTACCTTCCCGCCAGAGCGGTACCTATTTATCTACTTGCACTTTGACGTGCTTTTGAACTGCTTGCAAGTAGTGTGGCTTTTAAAAGTGGGAATTATGCATGCATTTGAATGGAGCATTGAAAGAAGCTACTGCATGATGCCCACAGCAACTGCTCCAGGTTTAAAAGCATATAATGGGGTAACCAGTGTGGTGTCCTCTAGTTATTGGACTACAATACCCATTCATTCCTGATCATTGACCATGTTGCTTGGGGCTGATCGGGGTTGTAGTCTGACAATATCTGGAGGGCACCATGTTGGCTACTCCTGTATATTTCGGAAAATGCTGATAGGGTCACTAGCATTTTGTTGTTGTTGTTCTTGCCCGTTTGCCCACAAGTCTCTTTCTGAACATTAAAAGTTCCCAGCCATAACAGTCCCTGAATAGCTTTGCTTCCTATAAGTAGTAAATACAGTAAGTATTTGGTAAAGGTTTAGAAGGAAGACAAGTGAGATAGCTTCTGATTTCTTCTCATGAGGGAAAATAGAAAGCTTTGTGGGATGTTTTAATCTGATAATTTATTGAAGGTCAAGCTATTTTGCAGGGAAAAATGAGCTAAGCTTTGAGGAAAAATGGCTCTGTAGGTCTTACAGCAGGGTGCTGATTTCTTTCAGCCAAAGGGCCTTGTGTCAGGGGTAACAAGCAAGAGGTATTATGCTAGTTTCAGGTCACATTTCTGCTACTCTAAAGGAGGGCAAAGAACAAGCCATAAGTGGACATGGCCTTGTGAGTTCTGAGGACCAGAGAGGCCTGGAGGTATATATTTGGTCCCTATCATTGTCTTACAGTGGTAAGTTTATGTGTAGAACATCTATCAGCACACGGGCGGTTGCCAATCCGTCTGCTTCCTCATATCAACCGTTGAAGAGTACTGTATATCATGTGAATCTGCTTTCTCTTGGAAACTACAAGGGTGGTTTATTTTTTTAAAAAAATGTTGTGACTCCGTCTATAGTTCTGACATTCAGAGTTGTTTTCTATGGTCTGTGGATACTGGGATTTGGAAGGACAGTTTAAAGGACCTGTTACCATGCCCTGGAATTTAAATAAGTGGTGTGCATTGCAAAGGTCACACTTGCATTTCTGTGCAGAAACTGTATCCTCTCACTTCCTAACACCTCTATCAGGGTTGGCAGTTCCATGTCTGACTGTAGTTCCATGTTTTTCTTCTCCATCTTTAAATATATTGTTAGGAGGGCAGAGATTCTTATGTTTCAGCTAGTTTATGTAGCAGTCTT